ATAAAAAAGGACTAGGGGTTAGCTAGCTTTAACTTAAAGTTAGCTAATGTCCCATACTAGATAAATTACAAACTTGTGTCACATCAAGATCTACAGAGACAAATAACGACTTTATAATGATGAGGTTTCATGGATAACAATGGTCCACAGGAAATTAATGCTCATGATATAAATCAGTCTTTTCATTTTATACAGTACATTATACATTATGATGTACACAATGATTATTGTTCAGTTAGTAGCTTTGATTAACAGTTAAGAAACCCTGTTTTACAGTTAAACTGTTACTTGGAGACACACTTGGATAAACAGGTATTACAGTTCTATCCACCGCAGACTCACCAGACTTGTAATATGGAGCAGGTACAGCCATCTGCACTATGACCTCCAACCCCTTCACTTGTGTTTTGGGTGGGGCCACCAGGTAAATGAGTCCTCCCCACAGGTTCCAAACCTGTATCATCTGTGCAGTGACAGGAAATCGCTCATGGACAGATGGTGGTCTCTTCAGCTCGTCATTGTGATGCAGGGAGTCAGTTTGACATCCTATCTGAATCTGCAGACGAAAAAGAAAATGCATTATTAGCATGTGTTAGTTAACTGAATAGGTGCCAGAAACTGCAGTCTCTCTCTTTTTTAAGCCTTAGATTTTGGACCATTGCCGCATTGCCTGATAGGAATCTCCCTGCCAAATCTGATCTTTCTACCAATTTTTTTTTACATTTTTAAAGTAATTATAACTGCAGTTATGTTTTTGTATCTGCGTGTCCTTGTTAAATTGGGTAACTTGACTCTGTCTCATCCCAATATGGTCATTTGCAATTTAAAAAAACCCCCAACATGATTGTAGCCAGAGTACTGAAGTTGAGGCTTTAAGCTTTAAAACCAGTGGGTGATGTCACCCACCCATTAGATATAGGTGGATTGATATTGAAGGCTGAGGCATGCCATATCATTATACTGCTGGGGGCAGTCTAGTGGGCTTGACTGGAATCTCAGCTTATACTTATGATGGTCTATAATCTTCAAAGTATCACATCAGGCTAGAAAATGCATATTTAAAATAAATAATGAGAATAAAATATTGTGGAGCCCAACCTTTAGGAGGCATCCCGATTAGATGCCTCCTGAGGACAGAGACTTGCATGGGGTCAGCATTATCACTGAAATTAAAATCAATTGACTTCATATGCTGTACCTTCCAATCCTTGTTGACAATCTGAGGTGGTATGGCCATGTAGGTCTTCATACCAGGAGAGAGGTAGAGACCTGTGCTGATCCACTCTTCCCCATCTGAAACACAATTATGTTTAAAAAATAAAACAACACATTCAGGGACATTTGCAGGTATAAAATCAGTATTTTAAAAACTGTATTTCACAGTTTTCAGTGTCTACAGTGAGGTTCACAGATTAAAACTGTGTAACATTAAGTAACAAACATTGCTGCATCATGGTGAACATTGCTATGTGATTCAAATGTGTTAGCAAAACAATAACCACTGTACACATATTGTAAATTGTAAACTTATAACCAATTCACATAACACAGCAGAGAGATCTGACCTGCTGTATTGACATCAACCTTGATCCGGTGGTTATAGACAACAGGCATCATTGGGTTGTCCTTGATGAGGTAGGGCAGGAGAGCATCAGGGTCTGAGGAAACCTTATATACCTGGGTACCCACAGCGAGGAGGAGGTGGTCTTTGGGACTCTTTACAGGGCTTTTTTCACTCACCTTGAAAATGAGTGGTGAATGTTATAAAAATTATCTTTCGCGCATTATCACAGCATCTGCAGCCAAAAAAAACCTACCAAAACCAAACATTCATAGATTGGGCAGCTGTCAGTCATTGGTCACTTATAGCTGTGAGAAGTCAACCAGCACCGTTTCATTCTTTTGGAATTTTTTTTAAGATGATCATATTATGTTGTCTACTCACTTCTGGCAGGCCTGATGTTATTAATATATCCGTGAGTGTGGCCAAAACTTGTCTGTAGTGGGAGGAGTCATGGGCTTTCATCTGCAAGTAGACGTTGCAGTCGTTGCCCAGCTTTTTCAGATATCTCTCCTCATGCTGGCTAAGTTCTTCACCTGTAGTCACATGGGCAGCGAAGCGGTGTAGAAGGTGGCGGAAGTGGTAGCTGTCTTTAATAGCCTGGCTGGGTACAGGGGCTTTGTATGATCCTCCTCCGATTGTTGCTCCCAACAGGCTCAATCCCATTTGGTTCAGGATCTTGTTCCCTGGAAGATATTAAAGCAAATCTGACTTAAAATACTCTCGTTTACTGTTGGAAGTGTAATGACTTTGGTTTTTTCATTTAACTGCAGAAGGTTGTTTTTTTTTGCCCAAGATGTGCCACCTTATCATCACTGTAGGCTATTAGAGCTCTGTATGTATATAATAAAAGAGCTTTGTGATGTTTTTATGAGCAATCATGGCTTGTAGTGTAAAATGATACAGGCAAACTATAAAAACACTACCCGAAATTTTGAGTTTGAAAACAAGCCCAAAAATATTTTTTCACATTTAGTGACTCATGTATACCACATACAGTTAGGTCCATAATTTGTTGAACAAGAGAAGACTCCAACTGTCAGTTTCAAGAGGAAAAATGCATGGTCCATTCTGGCCGTGAATAAGCTTTTTAGCCTTGCAGGACTTCTGGAAACAATGCTGGGTCAATAATAATAATAATTAGTAGTAGTAGTAGTATCATTTCCTCAGGGCAGTCACCCGTAAATTGTGCGAGTGACTGCAGCAGATTCCAAGACCAACATCCGAGATCTCTATCAAGAAGTGCACAGTCCAAGAAGCACCAAAGATACTGTGCAGAATACTTAATCTCTTAGGTCTCTGGTAGAGGAACGACACCTGGGTCAAAATCAAGACACAAGAAGTGGAATCCTTCACTGCGCACATTAACGCTGCGGATAAAAACATCAAGTTCACCAGGGAAGACACAAAG